TTGCGAATTAAACATTTGTTTATTTATGGTTCTTTTTGAACAGATAAACATGTCAAAACTATTCTTTATGTAATTTTACATTTGACATAAAAGATTAGTACATACTTATAAGTTATAACTATAAATTGTATTATTAATTAATAAATAAATATGTTTCAATATATACATATATTATATTATATATATAAATGTACAAATGCTAACAAACAATAAACATTTAAATTTTTTTTTAAATGTTCATCGTAGAAAAACAATATTTACACAACATATCAGTGTTTGTATGTTTCCTGAAATCAAATATTTGTGTTAGATGACTTACGTCTATTAGAATTAGCCATTAGGTTCCTAACAAGTTCGATACAATTACATTATTTTATGTTATAATGGTATTTGTTCATTGTTCTCTATACACACATTTATTTACCATGAATGCATAACATAAGATTGATCTAAGAATTAGAATCAATCCTAAATTCCTATTAACCCAATTCTATTCTTAAACAGTGGTGTAAACACGAGGCTTTGAGTGCAGTTCTGCCCCCTCCCTCCCCCGGTGTTTTAAACATAAAAACATGAAAATATATATATGTAAATAAATATTAAATAACGAAATAAATATTTCAATAAGTTGTACAACAAATAATTCAATTAGGGTATCGTATAGAAATTCATATCGAAAATTGTACATAGTAATTTCGTAGATATGCGCGGAACGTTGTGTTTGTCCATTTAAATAATATATAATATCGTTGTGAGTCTGTGACGTGTGCGTGTTTTAGTATACAAAGTTCAAAACTAAATCTCTATTTAAAAAAATTTTTCCATAAATATACATATATATAGTATATACGGATGTAATGTTTACGCTGTTAAACGTTAATAGCGTCTGATAGTTCATGTTTTTAGTGGTCAATTGGTTATTACATATTTTTATCAGCATATTGTATAGTCCTGGTTTGTTTCTGGTTCTCAGCTGTAGACGGCATTTTACTTATTTTATGTCAGTGATTACTGATTACTGATTAGTGTACGGTGTTTGTGTTTCCTTGTACAGTTGTAGCTTACTACAGTCTTGCCGTGCTGTATTTTTCTTTAGCGCGTATAACGTAAAAAAATCTTGAACATTACATATATTTAATTTAATACATATTATATTATTCATTGATGAAAACACATTAGTAAGTACCTACATAATAATTAATATTGATTTATTATCAACAATTATAAAATACATTACTTAGGATATCATAAATCAATTGTATTTAACATCAATTTGAGGTTTAAATCAAAATTGTTAATTAGTGCATTAGTTCATTAATTTACAGTTTAGAAAATAGGTAGGTATACACAAAATTAATTTACACACAATACAATTAATTTTCGTCGATTTAGTTATCAGTCAGACTAGCCACGAATCTACTAAAACACTAGCTTAAAATTTAGGTCCAAGTTATTTTTACCACAACACTTAACTTAGAAGAAACGCCCACGTATTTTGTTGTGTCCGTCTACAAGTGCGTAACACAGCAAATTTACGTTCAGCAGTTTACGTTCATAGCTTCGTTTGTTTTTATATGCCTCAGAATGAATTATTGACTTATTATCAAACGTACAAATAAGAACATTATCTGTGTTTACACTTAGATTTCTTACGATATTTGAATTTTTAAGCAAATTATGGGCAATTTTATTAAGCAATATTTTACATACCCACAACTTCCTTCAACATTTAAATATCGAAAAAAAACCGATCACAGAAAATGTTACTTATACGTTGGAAAACAGGTCAATTTAATTATAATATTAAAACTAAATACGTGAACGGCTGCAGAATGTGAATTTGCTCTTAAGTATATATAAGGTATGTAGTAAATAAAGTACATACCTATTAATAATAGTAGCTTATACCTATAGGTACATATATGCAATAATGGGTTAATTTATATTTTAATGTAACTTTAAACATTTGTTTTTCAATATGAAAAAGTAAATCAAAAAGATTATTTTATTATAATTATTGTATTACCTACAACATAATATTTCTGTAATAGGTACCAATAGAAATTGAAAAAAATAAATGTTCGTAATTTGTGATTAAATGTTGAATATTTTTATTTTGATAACCTAATTATTTTTAATACCTAATGATTTTTATGTATAGATACAGTGATTACTTTAAATGCCTACATTCATTATTTGGAAAAGTTTAGTTTTTTTTGAATATTATTTGTTCTTCCATTATTTGATGTCAGACCAAAAAATCAAGAAATTAATAACGAATAAAAATTGTAGAAATATACTGAATTTCCATTAAATTTTTTTTAAATAACGAGTGACACATAAATGGATCACCTTGTATATGAAAAAAATTTACATATGTTTTAATAATATATTATTATGTAATTGGACTATTTTTAATTCAATTTTGATGACTTTAAACAATTATTAACTTTTATCTAATAACCAGGAGTGTGAATTAAATGATTCTTCATAAATGTATAATTAAGAACTTATGACTATTTAAATTGATTCAATGTGTGTGACAACAATATTCTAAATATTTTCATTTCACTTAACGCAACAATTATTAATACAACAGTCGAGAAATTAGTTTTTTTACTGGGCTATAATGTGCTGATCACGACATTTGCCACATCGCCTTTTGACGTCAGTTATAATAAATGATAAAAAAAAATGCATCGATTTTATCGTCTCATTACGAAAATATATATGTAATAGAATAGCAGTTGATCAGGGCACATATTTCGTTTAACAGAACCAATATTGTGTTGTTACTTGTTAGATTAAATATTAGAGTAAATTCGCCTATTATCAAACTTTTTTTAAATTTTCATAAAATTGGTAATCTACATTCTGTTGTACAATACCTATAGAGTATAGAACAATAAGTAAAAAGATGAATGACATTGTTTTTTTAAAAAAACCGATTAAAGAAGCCTTTCAGTGTGGGCACCTTCCTTATCCGTTATTACTTATTTAATATTTATATATATTTATATATGTTTACAATGATAATATTATAATAAAAATTGGGCATTACCTAGGTTGGTAGGTCCTGACACCAATGATCAAACTTAAAGGTAAGAATATTATCTACTATCTAGTGCCCCACGCAAGTTTTTATTTATATTTTAATATAATCGAGTTATGAGAATTTTGAGATCTTAATATTTTACATAATAATTATAATCTTATAACTCACTTTATGATTAACATGTGGGCCTATGAGGTTCCCTAAATAAGCTTCTTACCTTTATGTTTAATAATAGGTCAATTCATTATATTAAAGAAAATTTACAACACAAAATTGGTTCTGTTGAAATCAAATTTATCGTGTTGTACGTTTGAAAACGGAGAAAACTCACAAGGGTCACGCATCCTCTTAAAATCTATATAACATGTTTCATTTCAGCAGTACACATTTGATTCCCAAAAACATTAACAAATATACAAATAGTAAATTATCAATGGGAACCAACAAACATTTATTTCTTTTTAATTTTTACCAAAAAATAATATGTATTGAGATTTTTGGTAGCCGGTACGTATAGGTGTACGAATTTTATTCAACTGTTCAGACGGGAATAACGATCCTGTTCTGCAGAGTCAACCAAATTTGATAATTTTTTTTTAAATAATAGAGGGTAATATTCTACAGGCTGCATCGAACTCCGTTTTTCAAAATTTTATCTCAAACTTTATGATAAATATAATGTCTTAAAAAATACTACAATTTTAAGAGTATTTTTACAAATTATATTACACTATTATTTGAAAAAAAAACTGGAGTTTCGGTGTGGCCTGTAGGAAGTCTACTTCTTTCAGATGAAAAAAATAGTTATCAAAATCCGACAATTCTACAAGGTCTGAGAATTATTCCCATGAAGTCACTTTTTTCGATATAATATCACCCTATCTACTCCCAATAAATAGGTATCGGTCAGTAGATTAGTGGAAAAGTGTTATAATTAAGGTGGCAACTAAAATATCAAATTTAATTTTCAAATATTATAGAATTGCGGAAAATTTAAAAAAAACTGGCACCTGCAAGTGCCTTTAAAAGCATTTTAACAATTCTAAATATTATAAGTGAGACGTGAGTACACGTATGGCTGTAAATTTAAATTTATTAGGTGTTATGATAAAATTTAAATTGTTTTAAATTTGTATTATCATTCAGTATGTCATTCAATTATGAAACTTAAACATTACCTAATTTGTGTCATTGAAAAGTAATTAAAATAAACGCCTTGTCCCCGGACTTTAGACTGTTTTAACTTTTGATTTTTAACCTGTGGATTGATATGAATGTATTTATAAACCAATGTATTTTCTTGATAAAACATTTTGTTATTAATAATTACATTACATAATATTATCAGAGAATATTATCTATCGTGTATCTGAAAACTAAGATTAAACGCTTAGGTTTTTAATTGTATAATAACTTTTAATTAAATAACTATTAATTCAGTTTGAAATTCAATAAATTTGTTAATTTTTCTTTACTCGTGAAATTCAACGTTAATTAATACTCTCCAAATGTGCTTTATAATTTTATAAATAATATTATTTATTAGTGTAAGATATTATATTAGATATTATATTATTTCAGGTTTGTTGTTTTTAGGAAACAAAATAATGACATTTTGTATTATGATATGAAATTACATTATATTTATTATACCTATTATAAATTATTTATAATACATCATTAATTCATTAGTTTAGTAATTCTAATTTGTTTTTTTTTTTTTACTTAAAATTGGGAATTTTTAATTTTGGAAGTCCTGGTTTACTGGCAACATACATGTTTATGTATGGTTGTTTGCCAAATGCAATATGTTGCCAAAGGCTTGTCCTTGAACTAGGTTTTACTGACAGTACTTACTCACAATAAACGATATTGAAAATCATTTTCATCATTACAAACGTTTAAACTCATTTTTTTAATTCAACACAATTTCTTTCCAGGTATCATGACTAAGGATCAGGCAAGTAAACGTTTTTATCGCGTGGACAGTAATTATGATTTTACTGCATTTATGGATCGTGGCCAAACAGCTGCTTACGAAAACCGATGGGTTTTTGAAACAGCTTGGGAAGTCTGCAATAAAGGTTTGTTAAAATACATCAGTAACATTACACCTATATATAATAATTAAATAAAATATTCATGTATATTAAGTAAATAATTTATTCATAATGAGAGCTTGTAAATAATAATAATAGGAAGAACTGTTAATTATTGTAATGATATACTCGTATTGCCTATTTTTATAATAATTAAATTATTTTCACTTTTGCAATTATTACTTACGAGTGGATAAGATTGATAAGTCGACAAGAGGGTAATAACTAATAAGTAATAACCGTAACATAATAAAAACAATAACGTCATAATATAATAAACCATATTATATAGGTACATGATCAATACAATTATTTGTTAAATTACCTTATTGAAATTCTAGTAGCATATTGTTTACATAATAAATGATGAAAACAACTAAAATTAAGATTCTTTCATCAAATTTAACACTGTAAAATGCTTAAATGTACTATATTTCAGGTGGTCTTTAGATATTTTAATTCGATGATACTAAAATGTTATAAAAATGTACATAGTTTTTTAGTTTGAGTAGATTATACAAATGGTGGATGTAACTATTTTGATTTTTGTGAACACATTCAGTTTATTCCGTGACTATTGCGTTCATATTTAATAATATATTATATGCACTATAGTCAATAATTGGTTATTGTAAGTACAAAAACATGTTTGTAAACATATTTTGTAAGAAAAACACCAACAATACGCTTTCATACTAGTTATATAGTAATTCTAATACGGACAATATTAATTTTTCGTTAAAATTGCTATAATTAGTCCCTTAAAATATTATGATGCGTTTCATAATATAATACAGGTATTTCATAAATACATTCATTTTAGCTTCACTCATTATTAATAAAGATTGGCATTTTCCTAAAATATTTCGACACTATTTGTTTTTAACATACCTATATTTATAGTTGTAAAAAAAAAGCATAATACATTGTAACATTTTCTAATATCATTATATAATATAATATGATATTATGTTTATGTAGATATTAATACAATTCAATAATACAAAATCTAAAACATATTTTACTTTAATGCACTTAGGTAATTGTTTTAATATTTAATTATTCCCCTCGGATATTACATTACGTTCCGTATACAATTTTAAGGGAAGAAATAGTGGAAAGTAAAATAAAAATAGAGATACACATATTTAGGTAAATTATATAAGCGTCTAATAAACAGTACCTAATGTATATTATGTAATATGTATAAAGTAAAACAGTAATTTTAATAAACAACAATGAAGTCATTACAAGTCTTTTGATTAAAACATATCAACTTTTATAAGACTATATAACTCGTTGCCTCGGGATCTTAATTAATTTACAGCATTCCAGACAACAATGTTTTAAAATTTAAATCATATTAACTATATTAGGTATGTACCCAGTATTAATTTATGTATTAGTACCTAAATGTATAAAAATGCTCTCATGTTAAAAACTTAATATTTATCAATACCATTAATTTATACTAAATGTCTCAATACGGTTTTTGTTATTTCAGTTGGTGGTATTTATACAGTAATTAGATCCAAGGCATTTGTCTCAACTGAAGAAATGGGAGAACAATATTGTTTATTGGGTCCTTATAAAGAAAACTATGCTCGGACAGCTGTTGAAGAACTAGAATTCGAAGGAGGTTCTCCTTATCACACAGCAGTAACAAAAATGAGAGATCAAGGATTTAAGGTAAAACTTTCTTAAAGTGATAAATAATTTTGATGTTCATGCCAATTTTATTGTAAATTTCCAACTACAAACTTGTTTGTAAATTTTTGACATTTTAATAAATATTGTCAAAATTTGAACTTATACGAAAAAAATCATTCCCATGTATCCCTACATTTTTCATCTTCTATTATTACAATTTTTGACGAATCTTGTGCTTTTACATTTTCAAGCATTTTGACCCAAAAACAATTTTTATTGACATTTATAGAACAAAAAACAACAAAATTTAAAATATCTATGAACAGCTCAAAACTAAATATTCAAAATATTTTGAAAATGTTATCAGTTAGGTATAGACAATTATAAAATAAATATTTGGTGAACATTTTTCGATTATTAGTTTTTGAATTACAACAAAATAAGAATATTGTTCTATGAAAATTTATAAATTTACGGGTGAATATCGAATGTCTAACTTCAAACGATCGTAAAAAATTAATTGGACTTTCCGATAAACTTTTTTTTGTATGTTAAATATAGAAAATATTATGGGGAATCTTGTATCAAATTTTCAAATCTTGATAAACATAGAATATTTTTTATGAATTTCTAACTCAAAATAATTTTATATTTATAAGGAAATGATGATTTTATTTATTTTGTTGTAGTTCAATATTCAATATTAATCGAACGTTTCTCTCTTACTTTTTTTTTATTTTCTATGCAGTATGCATAATGACATTTTCAAAATATTAAGACTAATTTTTAGCTAATAATAACTCGTAAATAGGTTACAATTATACAGTACGTAGGTATAACTTGTTGACTTATTAATTTATTTTACGTTAATAACGAAATTATATTATAAATTATAATAAATAATAATTAATAATATAATATAATATAGTATACTAGCTGACCCTATATATTTGGGAGTGAAGGGCGAAGAACAAGAAGAAGAATATGCGTAATTTTACAACATATTTGATGTAGAATATTTATTATTAACTTTTTAGTTAACATTATATTATTATTTATTTTCATAAATAAAAATTTAGGAATCACTCTTTGTATGATATTTTAATAAAATTACCCAATTTAATTAAATTACTTCAATTAGTGTCTAGTGAGTATGAAATTATCAAAAAAATTGGTTTCTTTTGAAAGAGTGAATTTAATATATTTTATATTTTATATTGTTATCCTAATAAAATGAATAAAAACAGTTGTTGACAGGTCGATGGTTAGTCGATGGTAGTCCACAAGTTATATTGTTTGACATTGGTTCAGCTGCTTGGAAATTAGATGAATACAAGCAAACTTTATGGGATACGTGCAACATAGGAATCCCACATTTAGACGTAGAAGCTAATGATGCCGTAATTTTGGGATATTTAATATCTGAATTTCTTTCAGAAGTAAGTACATACCTTCAGCTCGTTAAAAGATTAAAATGTAATATATTATACTTATTTATACGTCTTATATATAAAGGAGCCTAAAGTCATTAGTATTTATCTGTAAACTTAGATTTAAGTGTTTTTTGAATCTAAAAACTCTACTTAGAGTTCTCTCAAAGCTTGTGAATTATTTCTCATGAATTACAACCCCCACACCCAAACCTCAAAGGATATTTGCGTCTATGCATACCTTTAAGTGCCTAATATGTTTAACCCGTTTTGTGTATATTTTCTAAACCTAGAAAAGGGCAAACGTACAGTTATATCAAGTACACATATTATAGTTATGGATCTAAAATTATTTAAATACATTTTTGCATTTTCAGTTCCGTGTGGCAGCAGCAGCATACATTGATTCAACGCCATTGGTTGTTGCTCATTTTCACGAATGGCAAGCTGGCATAGGGTTGATAGCATTACGTACAAAAAAAGAACCAATTGCTACAGTATTTACAACTCACGCCACATTATTAGGTCGATACCTCTGTGCTGGAAATACTGACTTCTACAATAATTTAGAAAAAGTATGTTTCATTTTTTTACATTATGTTTAGTGTCCGAAACTTGCGTTGAACAATTTTCTACTTACCTATATAGTTACCAGATCGTACAAAGTGTCCGTGTTATGCATTTTAAAGAACTGTGACCATATAAAAATGACCGTTTACCATTTTAAGTGAAACCCAAAGTTAATTGTTATTCTTTAGTGAGTTAACACTTAAATTTGATGTAACTACCATTAAAGTTGTACTCTTAAAAGTACGAAAATTATTATTTATTGGTAAATTTTAACTTTTTATACATATTTTTTAAAATAACTAACATAAATAAATATCTTTGAAAATGTTCCTTGAATGAAATTATTCTACTACCTAGGTATTTGAAAAATATGAACTCTGAGAACTCTCAGAGAAGAACCTATTTAAAGTTATGAATTTTTTTATTTTACAGTGAAACGTCCACATTACTAAGTATTATGGGCAACCAAAACATTGTATTATAGACAATTAAGCAAAATAGCATTCAATAACTTTTTTACTAATTTGGTTTGGTTCTCAAAATTTGTTAAATGGAATTTCGATATATCGAAGTTTCATTGTGTTATCATTTCTTATTAAACACCTAGGTACCTATAAGTATTGGTACTTAAAAAATTTTAAACTTTAAAATATGCTTTCAAAACTAAAAAATATGCTTTTAAAACTAAAAAATTACCATTTATGCACTATAATTTTGATATTTTTTTATTATGTCATGGAACATTGGAAATAATTTATAGCTTACCTAACTTACCTATATCTAGTAACCCACAAACACATGCAAATGCAACGCTTTCTGGAGTCTTCATTTAATTATGTTTTATACCTACAGTCTACAAAATATTTTTACTGCATACTTATTATTAAAACGTATATAGGTAGTAGACGTATCACATATGCGCATAAAAGAACTTTGAAGTTAAATTTAAATATAAAATAAAAAACAATTATACAATAATTTATTAAACCTATACATAATATATATTATATTTCAAGAGCGTCAGTGTATATCTTATATTATATACATAACAGGTATATGGAGTGTGATTGCAATATTTTCAATAGTTTTGATAAATTTTCAAAAAAAAACCTGTATTTACACCAACTTTTCATTTTTTTCAGTTCAATCTCGATGAAGAAGCTGGTAAAAGACAAATTTATCACCGTTATTGTATGGAACGAGCTGCAGCACATGTTGCACACGTTTTTACCACAGTATCTGATATTACCGGAAAAGAATCCGAGTACTTACTCTCCCGGAAGCCCGATATTATAACTCCCAACGGGTTAAATGTTGTCAAATTTTCAGCATTACATGAGTTTCAAAATCTTCACTCGCTATCCAAAGAGAAGATTCACGATTTTGTCCGCGGCCATTTCCATGGGTACTTATTATAAAAATAATATCTATATTTATTATTTACCATAAATATGAACTATAAATAGTAGTGTATCTTAAAAATATATATTGTTAATGTTGAACCTGAGATAATATCATAAGGACAGTAATAAATAATAATATTACAAAAATGTCAGTAGGTAGGTACCTACATTAGCAGTTGGTGTGTGAAATAATTGGGGAAGGTATGCCTTATTGCATCTCTGTTGAATTATTCATTTAGAAAATTATAATGTGTATTAAAAATTACATCGAGTTCAAAAAAATTCATCGAAATTTATAGCTGTAGTTTCCTATGGTGAAACAAATTTATTAGAAAATCAAAAAATATTTTGATAAAATAATCAATTAGATCCGTAAATTCATTGGTAAACGATAAATACTAAATAAAATACGACTACCTATCTACTTGAAACTTTAGTAGCATTTCCACTGATCGATAGTGATTTATAATGCTTTTTTTCCGAAACATTATTGCGTAACAACGACCATTTGATGAATTTTTGTTTGGAATGCTTAACACGATGCTTTCCTAGATACAAATGTATTTCAAATACACACTTTGCTAACACCGAACTACTATTGCATTTTTAAATTTTTGAGGATTTTTAAGTTAATGTCCATTTTTAAACTTTTTTAAGTAATTTTTAAACATATTTCTAGTAATATTACGAAAAAAAAAATGTTATATAATATAAATACACATATATTGTACTAAAACAACAATTGATATAATATGGTTTCTAAATAGAACGATTCACTAATTTATCTTGTTTTCTGAAGAAATCCTGGGACCATTCTGGAAAATTTTAAAGAGGTTTTAGCTCATAAATTAAATTTTTTTGAATGGGCATTTTTAGAGCTTCAGGTCATCAATGCATTTTTTGAAATAGCATTTTCTAATATTTTGAAGGGCATTTAAATCCGGACTCTAATTATTATAATAATATATATAATATGTTTAACTTGTATAGATAATTAAATTAAAGCTTTATATTTACCTATGACTAGTAGTTAGTTATAAATTTACACAAAAATATTAAATTATTAACACGTTATACTCGATATATAGACACATACATAATTATAACGATGATATGTTATCTTTGTAAAAATTAGTAAAAACTCGGGTCTCCAATTGTCAATTAAGTGCATTAAAATCCCTTTAAAAATGCACTAAAAGCCTTATTTATAAATACACTAACATCTCAAAAATAGTAGTAGTATAAAATGCACTATTGAACTATAACTATTATAAATTTATAAATTATAAGTATACTAAAAAATATAAAATCTTTCAAATATAAAATCTTTTAAATTAAAGATATTTTTATTATTAATTAAGTAGGTGTGGCGTGCGTATACAAACATGTAAAATATTAATAAGACAAAAATTTAAAAATAATTCATATTAGGTATAATGTGTGTAAAAAGTTTTATCTGACGGAAACACTTAAAAATTAAAAGAATAGTTTCAAAATGTAATTTATTAGTAAAATGTTCAAGCTTTGTGTTAAACTAAAAAAAAAAAAAATTGTGTATAAATTTACTGGCCGGCTAATTACTATTAAAGACAGTATTAGATGATAATATATTTGGACTACTGGGGACTTGGATTTACGTGTAACCATCACCGGGCGTAACCGACCAATAAATAATTTAATAATTTAATTACCATTTTCATTCGATTTTATTGAATATTTCGTTTTCATATGCTAAATACACTGATTTATTTTTATAACAGACATTATAATTTCGATCTGGAAAAGACGTTATATTTCTTTACGGCTGGTAGATATGAATTTTCTAACAAAGGAGCAGACATTTTTATCGAAGCGTTAGCTCGTTTAAATCATTATTTGAAAGTGAGTCAATAAACAATAGTCGGTTTATCACTGATCTCATTTAACCGACGAGAAACAAAAAATGATTTTCAATTACAGAATGCCAATTCAGATATGACTGTCGTAGCCTTCCTTATATTTCCCGCACGAACGGATAACTTCAACGTGGAAAGTCTCCGTGGCCATGCCGTTACCAAAAGCTTACGAGACACTATACTAGAAATACAAACGAAAATCGGCAGAAGGATTTACGAAATTTGTCTAAGGTTAGTGTCAATAACGATATAATTTTTTGCTCGAAATACGATATATTATAATGCCAACTCACATAATGTTCTGTCTGTACTTGTTTTCCAGGGGACGAATGCCTGTCGAAGAAGAGTTGTTGAACAAAGAAGACACCGTCAGGTTGAAACGGTGTCTGTACGCTTTACAGAGGGACGACTTGCCACCGGTAACCACTCATAACGTGGTAAATGATTGGTGCGATCCCGTACTGAACACGATACGGAGATGTAAGCTGTTCAACACCACAGCCGATAAAGTTAAAGTAAGCTGATGATATAGGTACCTACTTGATGACTGATGTAATACGTATACTGTATTACTGTGTTCCGTATGCCTATTGCCTATATACCTAGGTAAAATATATTACAGCTATGTTCCAATCAAATTTATTGAAAGTATACTATGCAGTTTTTTTTCAAAAATGTCAATAAAAAAGTTTATAACGCACCAAAAGAATGGTCTTCTGCTAAAAAAATAAATGTATAAATGTATAACCTAGCCTATAAATAAATATAGAAAATATATTTACCTACTTATATAAATTAACAAAGAATCGTCGTACAATTTCCGCCGGTGGAAAATAATTATTCCGTATCAAAAATATATATTATTTGGTTTTCAATAAAAACATGAATCACCCTCTACAAAAACATAAAAATTTTTTTCACATTGAGACCTGAGGGCAGAGGGTATACCCATAGGTTTTAAAAAATAATTTTTTGAGTATACATACTATACAGCGTATATTATGAAGTAAACTTAGTAATGTTAAAATGCGTAATTTATTTTTTTTTTTTGTATAATACTCTAAAGTAGATAAACCTTAAAATTCGGAAATTGAACACAGGTGATAACACTATTGTATATTTGTATATATATAATGAATAATCCAATTTTAAAATGGCTTAATAACAAATTTCAAAGAGAATTTAAAAAACCACTATAATACAAGAATTATTATATCTATATATTATTATAGTGACTAGAAATAATGTTTATTTAAAATAATGTAGTTACAATTCATGACCAGTAAATTAAATTCTTAAGTATCAAATTAATTTTCTAATAATATTACCTAACTAATATTTATTTTTTAATAAACAATTTGTGTAAAATAATTTTATATCATGTGTATACCTCGTATAATACGTACTCACATCTCTATAAGTACACCCTATGGGAACAACATTGACGTCCATTGTATATTGTGCCATAACCATCTCTATCAACATTCTGTACACCGCGGAATAAACAGAAAGCTCATGTTATATTCGTCCTGCATGGTTTTATAGATTGTGTTCCACCCGGAATTTTTGTCCTCGACTAACCCGCTGTTTGGATTGGACTATGAGGAATTCGTGCGAGGTTGTCACTTGGGAGTATTCCCCAGCTACTACGAACCTTGGGGATACACCCCCGCCGAATGCACGGTCATGGGAATCCCTTCAATTACTACAAACTTGTCGGGTAACTACAATTATTATCATTATTATTATTGATTTTTTTTTTTTTTTTAATTGTAATATTATTATTAAAAAAAAAATTGTTTGGTAACTTTGGTCCTTCTTCGCTTGGATTATCTTTGATTAATTTTTTTTTTCCAAAAATGTCGGTAAATACAAGATTAGTACAAAGTTCTCACAAGTATTTATTTATTTATTTATTTATCATAGCTATTTTAAAATATTAACGATACATCGACACAATTATTATTTTTACAATTGTTTAAAGTTCAAATGTTGTCAAAACCACAATATTAATTTGTAGTTAAAAATGTACCTATAAAATATTCAATTTGTATAGCTAGACTTCTAGAGCTTAAAGATTTAATAAAAAATCAAACACATTACATTGACACATTGGACACTGTACATCAGAGTAGTACCCACGATATACAATAGCGTTATAATACCTAAAAGTATGATTTGTAAGAAGTATTTAGTAATTATAACTATGGAACGGACTTGAGTGTTATAAAAAATCAAAATATATACATAAATGTATACTTATTTTTATCAAAATATGTATAGCAAAATTTAAAAGGAGGGCAAGTGGATGTCGCTCTGCTGTACAGTAGGTTACAAGTGGGTAAATACAATCATTGTATAAGAAAAACGATTCTGAGCGAAGACGGTATGTCAGTCTAGGTATAAGGCATCTTATATACATAACTATGGTACTAAACCAACATTTGACCTATAATAGTTACCTATAATAAATTCCAAATTAATCATATCACAATATCCATTAGGTACTTATAACGCGTTATACATCAACAAAAACCGTGATACTATCATAGATATATAATTAATAGTACACTTTAGAAGTTTCAAGTTCCCACGAATAATATTATTCAATCACAACAAAATAACTAAAATAGTTATTCTAGGTTTTTTAATATGTAATTTGGTCCAAATTTGAATTTAAAATGTCTGTAAAAAATAACTGTGTTCATATATTTTTTAGATTTTTTGGTTACGGTATAAACTATTTATGAGAACCTTAGTTTTAAATTTGCAATCCTTAGCTATAAAAACTGAACATTTTATAATTTATTAATTACAATGATTGATAATTTTCGAGATTTTGATAAATGTTGTCAAAATTCGATCTTTAAATGCTTATAAAAAAAAATTGTGCCTATGTATTTTTAATATTTTTCAATTGCTATTGTAACAATATATCAGGAGCCTTGTATTCATTTTTTACACTTTTTGGCATAACAGATAAAACTTAATTGATATTTATAGAAAAAAAAAACTAAAAAAATTGAAAACTGAAAATGTCCGTAAACGGCTCAAAAAGAGTCAAAATATTTTCAAAATTGTATGGTATATAGGAAATGCTAATATAAACATTCAGTGAAATTTTCATGTATCTGCAGTAATTCGTTTTTGAATTACAACAAAATAAGGAAATCACCACATGAGAAATCGAGTGAATATCCAATGTTGTAAAAATTTGAATTTCAAACGCTCATAAAAATTTAATTTGACTTTCTTTTAGAATTTTTTTCTTTTGATAAATGTAGGAAATCTTATAAGGAATCTTGTATTACATTTTCATATCTTAGATTTAAAAAGAAAAATTTTTATGAGTTTCTAACTCGAAATAATTTGCAAATTTTCGTGATTTTCAGGTTTCGGTTGTTTTATGGCCCAGCACATCGCTGATCCTTTAAGTTATGGAATTTACATCGTGGATCGTCAGAACATCAGCATCGAAGAATCTGTCAGACAACTCGCGCAGTATATGTACGATTTTGCGAGAATGAGCCGTAGACAACGAGTGATCCAGCGAAACCGTACAGAAAGGTTAAGCGATTTGCTCGATTGGCGTAATTTGGGTATTGTAAGTGTACATTTTCAAACTATTACAATTTTATTATTTCGTTAGGCGATTCGATTCCGTCCGTGTTTTCTACCAAAACAGTCCTATTTTATGTCAACTGTACCGTAGCTATATTATTGGAAATACGAAACTAAGTTTCAATGTTTCACGAAAATTCACATTTGTTATAAGTGTATGAAATGTTGCGTTACTGACATGTGCGGGCGTGCTCCACTATTTATTTTATACATAGGCACTCATTCTAATAATCACTTACTATGTAGGTACATATTTACACGACCCACATGCGCACAATTAGAATATTGCCTATACCGAACTCCTCAAAAACGGTGGTATGCATACCCCTTAACGCATTCCGCATTGAAAGTTGTCTATACTGAACTCCTTAAAAAGTAAAAACGGTCGTCGGTAATCGAATCTCCCCGTTGTTAATATAAAATCGGTTCGCAAGTTATAACGATAAACGCTTAGGCTATGTTGACACGTCTTGACGTTAATAATTACGTTGGTTTTCAGTATTATCGTCAAGCCAGGTTGAAGGCATTATGTCAAGTGTTCCCGGATATGTTTGATAAAGAAACAGAAACGTTATGCATCACAGAAGCATCGAGACGTCGATACAACTATCCTCGTCCTTATTCTGAACCACCGTCACCATCGAGTAGCCGACCGACCACACCTGGAGCTTCACTACACGGTTCAGATGACGAAGATATTGATGATGAGCGTGAGGTAATGAAAAATTGTTATTCGAGAAGAATGGTGTCCTTTTGTTTTTTGTGGAACCTTTTATTTAGTGGACAAACATGATTAATCAAATTATCATCGTTTTGAAATTAAATTGCGTTATATAATATAAATAGCAGAAAAAAAACTAACCCATTATTATAAGTAGGGCCCCGATGTTAATGCCCTAAAAAAATTATGAAAATGCTCTTAAAAAAAATGGATTTATGACATAAAAAACAAGAATTCCCCAAAGTTTTATATTTATATTTTGACTAAAACTATTGCCGTCAGTAATAAGTATCACAGTTAACAGCAAGACTTATATCAATAAATATTGGATAAGTATTAGAATTTAAACTGATGACCACCTAGTACCTATAAATTATAAATTGGTTATTATAGCCGTCGTTATCGATGTTATTAGAGATATTAAAAAAAGTAAAATTGTCGTTTTTTTCCTATTTATTGTAAATATAAAAATATAATGAAAAATAATTAACTGATAATTTTTCAATTAATTGTTAAAAAAGTAAAAATGCCCTAAACCTTCAAAAAACGACCATAAGTCACAAAAATAATCTAAAAATGAAGTAATGCATAACTTTAGAAAATAAAAATTAGTTATATAGATTTGTATGTTATTGAAACAGATATAAAACTAGACAAGCATCGTCTACGATGTTTTAAAAATAGATGCAAGCCGGGCCCTAATTACAAGGTTCCCATTGTTGGTGGGGCAGTTTAACTGTATTCTAATCTACGCATTTTATTATTTTTTCAGCTTGCAGAGCTTTCGGAACATAAAAGTCATTAACTATACCTACATAGTTTGTTGCTGTAATAAATATTAAATATTATATTTAACACATAACATAATACTTCTGATAAATGTATTTTAAATTTTCTGTGTAAAAAAAATTAGTTGTTTTTACTAAAAATACATATATTTTAATGAGAGTCTATGTCACAATATTTTTTTTTCGTTTATGAAAAAAATAGAAAAATATAATTAATTGATTTAATATAAAAAAAAAAAAAAATAGTAAAATAGTATTTTTTTCTGATCTGAAAATCAGCAATAATGTATAAGTACTTACATACAATAAGTCTTTAATAATGTATCTTAAATAATTATCATTAGTTGTTATGGCAATGCTCAGGTCACAAAATATAAATATACATGTACAAATAAACTTAATTATTTAAAAACGCTTACAATAATATTTTAAAAACTTAACCTAAGTAGGACATCAATTTATCATAGCAATGATAAATAGAACAATAATATTGTATTCTAAAAATTGTTACAAACAATGAATAAAACAACAATATACAAAATTGTAATAAAATTCAATTATTATCAAAAATAAATATTTAACAAAGCCTTTTACAGCTATTAGGCGACGGGGGTGGTGCATTTGGGCTAAAATAAGTGCTTGAAGATGGCGAATGTGATAGAGGAGTAGGGGGCGGAGGACAGGGTTCAAGAGGTAATGCAAAATCTGAATCATCATACATATCGTTGGGCAAATCAGTTTGTGAACACAATGTGGGGCAAGGAGGTTCGTAACGCTCATCATAACGCAAGTATTGATTTGCTCGGATGTAATCATTTGTCTGCATCGTTAGTGTGGTTGTAGGACTCGGCGGTGGATTAAGGGGGCTACAGTTTGATGGCGAGATCAAGTCAATGTGTGTTCCATTTTGCATAGCTGTATAAGCAGATGTTGAAGAATATTGTCTGGGAATAGGTATAGTAGTGTATGTAACAATATTATTGCTAGTCAGACTTGGAGTATGATCTAGATCGCTGAAAACAGATTAGAAATGTAAAATGTATAAATCAATATTCAATATAATGAAATTGTACAATGAGCCAATTTTATTTTACGTACCTTTTAGCACAACGATATATAATGACCAACAACAAACTGAATACAGTTACAAAGAAAATTATTGTGAAAAACAATGTGCCTTTGAATGATTTATCGCTATTGGCGCTTGTGGTATGGCCCACATTTCTAATCAACGAACAAGCCAAATAAGTTTCATCAGATCCATCTATACAATGTTTCCAACCATCACACACTTCCTTGACCGGTATGCATGCACCATTAGAAATGCATTGATATCTATCGTTTGAAAGCAATCCGGATTCACAGCACCGAGATTCGTCTGAACCATCAGAACACTGTTTAGTACCATCACACACCCAGTTTCTATCTGAAAACGATCAAACATATAACAATGTTAGCATATTTTTGCTTTGTTAATTGATTAATTTTATACATGTACACACCTATACAATGGCCATCTAAACATTTGAATTGATGTCTATTACACTCTGCACAATTAACTTCATCTGAACCATCATGACAGTCTGTTTGGCCATCACAGCGCCATATCAACGGCATACATTCTGCACTCAGTGAATTGCATATAAATTGTTCGGGGCCACAAACTGGTACATTCACACATTCGCGGTCACTCATTATGAGTCCCAGGGGACAAGAGCATTGATGGCTGTTGGATGTACTCTCATTGACTCCAGTGACAATGCACAAGTGTGAACACTGACCATGCTTGTTCATTGCACTACAAGGATGCGATGCTAAAATCTAAAATATTTATTTATAAATTATTTAATAAATAATGTGAACAATTTAAATTATGATAAATATACAATTAAAAAAAGATAATGAAATAATTCACCAAAAATTAACAGAAGAATCAATATTTCGATAAAAATCGCTTTCATCAAATCAAGTTGTATAAACAGTAGTTTTTAAGGGAAATTTAAAATCAAGTGTAATAAATTAAAGTTTTAAGAATCAGACTTAAAACAATAGGTGAGTTCAGAATAAGTTTACTTCAATTTTTGAGAAATATTATGAAAGATAAAACAAAATAAATATTTTATTACCTCTGGAGTAGGAATATATATAGCAATTATGTCAATTAAATGAGGAGTTTGATTCATGACAGCGCCTCCTTCAGTAACATAACCAGTGGATTTATTAACTCTTTCTATTGCTTGTTTTTCTTTATCAATCCAATACAAATATGGTCCAAGAACAGCTAAATTAGTGATTAGTGCACCATCAAATGAAATCAATGTTTTCCTAAGATTACAAATTACAAATAAAAATTTAATTTAAATATATTAAGTCAAATATCCTATAATAATATATTATATACACAAGTTTGGAGAAACAACTAAAATATATTTAAAATCAATTTGTAAAAATAATGTTTTTAAATTAATAACAACAAATAATAAATATTTACCATGTTGTATTATAATAAAATTAATTAAAAATTTAACCTAACTGAGATAATAGTTGTTAATAATAAATATTTTAAAGAACCAAATACAGTAGATTCTTAATATGTCGAATGTCGTTATCTCGAACTACATTGAATTCCCCTTGATACTACTATTACACTTATTAGTGTTTTGCTCTCGATATCTTGATATAAAATTAATCGTTTTTCGTTATTTTAAGTACACACAACAATATTTTTACTACGGTAAAAACAGAAAGTTATGCAGTACGTTCAGTGTGGTGATTGTGATTTTGTGCGTAGGTAGTCACGTTTGTAGTTGTTTGTTCATTTGTAATAAAATGGAAAAGAAGCATAAATTAAATGTCCTTTCAATTTCGGAAAAAGTTTGTTAAAATATTGATAATAACAAACTATTTTTTATAAACATACTCGAAGCTATAAGAATGTCTGATAAGGCTTGGAGAAGTGTAATACCACAGACTATATAAATTGAATCATAACAGCCGGTTTTAAAAACAGTGATATTGCAATAGATAACTCAACTACTATTTCTGATGATAAATGGAATTTTTTTGCCTATCATCTTATTATTCAGAATGTATTCAGTCATTTAAATTATTTCAGTATTTTAAGTATTCGTATTATTATTATTCATATACATACATATATATTATAATTTTTGAATAAAACTCGATATCTCAAACTTTTTCCTGTTCCCTTTGGATTCACATAACAAAAATCTACTGCATTTGGAAATTAAGAATAAACTTTATAGGAATTGTAACTATTGGCAACAATGACAAAATTAATACAGTAATGTTAACTTTTAAAACAACTTTTTTGCCTAAACTTGAAAGAAAATATTGCTTATTTGTACCCAACGCTCTACTTATAAGACCAAATCATTACAATTTATATGATGGTAAGGTGGTAATGGTAATGTTATTCTGTACAAGATATTGTCCACTCCTTTCAGCTTATTAGTATAACTGTTAAAAGTTATTGTTACAGTAATCAATATAAAAAAAATTATAGTTGTATATTAATTTTATGTAATATTCAAAGAAATAATTTACTTAAAATATTTTATTTCAAATAATCAAAATGTATAATTAATAATTATGTATATACATTTTGTAATTATATTTTTTTAGTCAAAATAAATAAATTACAGTAGTACTAGTACACAAAGAAGATTAATTGATTGGTTGATTGGGTATAATTTTTTTGGGTAGATAGGTGTGTTTATATTACCAAATAAGCAATTTTAATGGAATATAAGAGTCAATGTATTTAGTATATATTGTTTATGTAAGTAACTATTTGATGAATTTAATTTAAAATAAACACAAGTACCATTCCAACTCTGATGTATACAAAACATATATATTTATTGTTTGTTTACCTTTGATAACCATGAAGATCACAAACATCTACTTTACTTGAATACGAAAAATAAACCATATTTTGTACCCTGTCAACAGTAAGTGCTTCGAGAGATAACAAATCGGAGGCGATGATAACTCTATTATGACCATCAATACGAGATCTTATTACTCTGTGTTGACTTCCCAAATCAGTCCAATAAATATACCTAGAATTTTTAAACAAATTATTTAATTAGAGAACCAAGAATCTTAAAAATACAAATGTTTACCCTTTCTCAGGATGTATTGCCAAATTTCTTGGTTTTTCCCCATCAAAACTTTTAAATACAGATCCTTGAAAGCTGCTATTAGTTAAACGAGTTACGTTGATAGTATCCGTTACAGTACAAGTCCAAAACAATAATCTGTTATATGGATCCAAAGCGAGATCATATAAATTATATGTATCGCCATTGTTTCCAATAAACATATTCGGGTTTGAACCATTCTCGTGACAACGTTTAATCATTTGTGTTCTACCATCAATCTAAAAAATATATAATTATTAAGCATAAGTTAAAGTTCTTAGTAAGTTAATAATATTAAATAATTTTACCCAATAAATCATGTGTGATATTGGATCATATTCAACTGCCTTAACATGTTTCAATCCTATGACAGGCAGAGAGGAATCAGAAGAATCGTCTATATCCATTACCACTCTGTAAAATGTTGTTTTCTGTGCCACAATCAAAAAACTATTTGGTGCTAAATAATAAATAATAGTAATTAGTTTCTAAATAGTATCAAAAACTTAATTAAAAAATACAACTTTAATTCTTATCTTTATTAAATTTAAACTGGATTGTTAAACCGTGATTAAAAAATTTGAGTAGTTTTTTTGTTGATTTGTAAATTAATACACTTATATATTAAAATATATATATATATACATAAATAGGATTTTTTTAGTTGATATTTTTCAAACAAATTATATTTACCAGAGCAAGTGTTATTTTTAAACAATGTGAAATGTGTTTCACATGAACAGTGATATGGCAAAGGTTCATGATCTTTTGTTGATCCTTTTACAAGACACAATTGTTGGCATCCTCCATTATTTATAGCGCATGGATTTGTTCCGGTTTGACTTAATTTATCAAATGTTATCAAATCCGTAACATGATCTAAATTTATTTTAGTTTGCTTTAAAATTGTTCCACTTTGAATATCGACTTGGAAATAAGTTCCATTTGACCAATCCAACCAGTACAAGGACCCCTAAATTTTTTTAAATAATTAATACAAGAATTGACAATACATTGCACTATTTAAATTGTAATGTAACCATTTTTACCCTGTAATATGTTATTGCAGATGGAAAACTACCAAAAGGAATAGAGACAATTTTACTTTGACGTCTTCCGTTAAAATCAATACTTTCGATGGATCCACTATTTGGTGTCAATGTTGTCCAATAAAGCAGACCATTTTCATAATCTGAAGTAATGCTTACAACTCTACCAATTTTATTTATCAAACAATGTTTGCCTTCACCGTTCATAGATGCTTTATGAATTGATCCAGTAATTCCATCAAATTCACTCCAATACATAAATCTAATAAATAAGAAAAATATTATAAGAATCTGTTGTTAATTGTTATCACTTTTGTTATCACCTTTCTGTTGTAATCTTGTTGTGTACACTTAACCTAAATGTGTGAATACTATAACGTTTTTTTTTTTTGTTCTGTCATTATAAAACCTCGTTATGTCTTGAACTTAAAAGCGGAGCTGTTATTCTTTTTGTCCTTTTACATTAAACAACAGGTTATGGGCCCAGACATGGCTAAAAGAACTGATGACAAGTATGGGATAACTCAATTTGCTGGAACTAATTTTCCAAACTGGAAATTTAGAGTAGAAATACTTCTCGAAGAATTTGGAGTAAGAGCCTGCCTTACAGGTAATGAGCCTAGTTCAACTCAAAAGGTAGAGCTGGAAAAGTGGCAAAAGGATGACAAGAAATGTAAGTCCCTAATTGTTCAATGTGTTGCTGACAGTCATTTAGAGTATGTAATGGGCAAAGAAACTGCGAAGGAAATCTGGAATTCGTTAGTTCAGACGTTTGAACGTAAGGGTGTTGCGAGTCAACTGTATCTAAGACGGCGGTTACTTACACTAAAACTTGAAAATGACACTAATCTTGAAGCTCATTTTATAAAATTTGATGAACTTATAAGACAGTTGAAGTCAGCTGGGGCAAAACTGGAAAAAGAAGATATAGTATGTCATCTTCTGTTGACGATGCCGGAAACATATAACAATGTTGTGACAGCAATAGAAACACTTTCAATTGAGAAATTAACAATTGAATTTGTTAAAGGAAGATTGCTGGATGAAGAAGCGAAGAAAACAAATACTACAGATATACCTCAACAGAGAAGTACAGCTTTTGGAACTACAAGTAATAGTAGTTTTCCATTTAAATGCTATGGATGTGATAAAGTTGGTCATCGGGTATCAGAATGTAAATTTAAAAAAAAGTTTGGTAGAGACAAAAATAAGAAATCTTGGAAAAAGTCAACAGCAAATAATGTAGTCAGCAAAAGTGAAGATGCGGTTTGTTTTTCAATTGGAAAAGATATGGAACCTACCGAGAAGGCAAGTGAAATTTTTTGGTTCATTGATTCCGGTTGTTCAGATCACTTGGTGAATCAAGAAAAATATTTCTCCTTTATAAAGCAAATGGAAACTCCTCTGAACATCGGAGTTGCCAAAAATGGGGAAAGTTTAATTGCGACTAAGACAGGTACAATAATTTCTTATAGTAGAGTTGATGGTGAAGAAATTCTGTGTAAGTTTGAAAACGTATACTACGTACCTAATCTAAGGTACAACTTATTATCAGTTGGTAAGATCGAACAGTTGAACTTTAAAGTTGTGTTTGAAAATGGTCTTGCAACAATCACTCAACCTAGTGGAAATGTAGTTGCTGTTGCACGCAGAATGAGAACTCTGTATGGCATAACTTTCTCTCTAAAACCAAATACTTGTGCAAATAACTGTATTGATACACAAATTGATGAGAGTTTGTGGCACAAAAGGATGGGACATCCAAACAAAAGTTATTTATGGATGTTGAGAGATATGGTTACTGGACTAAATCTTAACAAGAATGATATTCCGGACTTCTGCCAAACATGTGTAGAAAGCAAGCACTCAAGAAAACCATTTCAATCAAGGTCTTTTCAGACTCGTCGTCCGCTGGAAATTGTGCACAGTGATGTGTGTGGACCAATATCACCGACTACTTGGAACGGTAAGAAATACTTTCTTTCATTCACTGATGATTATACCCGTTTTTCAATTATTTATTTATTAGAAAAAAAAAGTCAAGTGTTTCAATGCTTTCAAAATTATGAAGCAACTGTAAGTGCATTTTTTGATTTAAAAGTATCCATATTGAGATGTGACAATGGAGGGGAGTATGTAAGCAATGAGTTAAAACGTTTTTGTTCAGTTAAAGGAATTGTTGTTGACTATACTGTTCCTTACACACCTGAACAAAATGGTTTAGCAGAAAGATTGAATAGAACATTGGTAGAAAGAACAAGATCATTGCTGTTACAATCAAACTTGTCAAAAGAAATGTGGGGAGAAGCAGTACTCACGGCCGCTTATTTGGGAAACCGACTACCAACACATGCAAATATAAAGAAGACTCCTGTTGAGCTTTGGACTGGAAGTAAGCCTAACTTAAACAATATTAGAATCTTCGGATGCGTTGCTTTCGCACACATACCAGACCAATTGAGGCGTAAGTTAGACTCAAAGTCAAAAAGATGTATATTTGTTGGTTATACAAAAAATGGTTATAGGCTATGGGATCCATTAACAAAGACTGTGTTTGTCAGTCGAGATGTCATATTTAATGAAAAAGAATTGTTAAATCCTATAATTACTAATAATGAAAAGAAAATACTTGTTGAAATAAACAATTCAGAAATTGCTGAGGAATCAAAAGAAACCACTGAACAAGGATCTCAAGATGAAGAAAGAAAAACAGAAAATGATGTGGATAAAGTCATTGGAAATAATATACCAACACAAGAACAATTGAAAAGAAACAGGAAAACTCCAACGTGGCATAAGGATTATGAAATGTCAATGATGGCACTTTCTGCTGAATACTATGTTCAAGATTTACCAGAAACTGTTGAAGAAATCAAAACTCACCCAAATCATACTCAGTGGAAAGCAGCTATGGAAGAAGAAATGAGAGCTCTTAATGAGAATAATACATGGACTTTGGTTAAAAGACTGCCTAACAAAAGGGTTATGAACAACAAGTGGGTCTTTAAAGTTAAAACTGATGAACAAGGAAATGTTATACGATTTAAAGCAAGACTTGTTGTCAAAGGCTATTCTCAAAAGTTGGGTTTTGACTATATGGATACCTATGCACCTGTAGCCAACATAGTGACTGTTCGCACATTACTATCACTGGCACTACATAAAGACTTGCATATTATTCAAATGGATGTGACAACAGCGTTTCTGAATGGAATAGTTGAAGAAGAATTGTACATGAGACAACCTGAGGGTTTTGAGAAAGGGGAAAACTTAGTTTGTAAACTAAATAAATCATTGTATGGTTTAAAACAAGCTCCTTATTGTTGGAATAAAAGATTTAATGAATTTATTGAAGGGCAAGGATTAGTAAGAAGTAATTCTGATCGATGCTTATATATAAAAATTAATAGTAATGTATGTTTATTTTTACTATTGTATGTGGATGATGTTCTAATAGTGAGCAACTCTATGAAGTCAATGAATGACTTAAGAAGAACACTGAAAGAAGAATTTAAATTAACCGATCAAGGCGAAGCAAAATCATTTCTAGGTATTAAAATAGAACGTACTGAAGACTCTATGAAAATTAGTCAAACTCATTATTTGGAAAAGTTGCTGAAGAAATTTTCAATGGAAGACTGCAAGCCAATATCGACACCTATGGAAACCAAACTTAATACAGAAAATGGAGAGGCAACTAATAAACCTTATCGCGAGTTAATTGGCTGTCTAATGTATGTAATGATTCAAACAAGACCGGATTTAAGCGTTGCAGTGAACTTGTTTAGTCGATATCAGTCTCAACCGACAGACAGTTTATACATTCAACTCAAAAGAGTACTACGCTATGTGAAGGGTACTACTGATTTTGGTCTTATCTATAAAAAGGGTAAAGAAGTAAGTCCACTAAGGGGATTTGTTGATGCAGATTTCGCTAATGACATCAACGATAGGAAATCTACCTCTGGATACTTATTTCAAATATATGGATCCACAGTTTGCTGGTCTACAAGAAAGCAATCAACAGTAGCAATCTCCTCAACAGAGGCTGAATATCTAGCATTGGCATCAGCTATACAAGAAGCTATGTGGCTCAAAGGTTTACTTGTTGAAATGTGCGTTATAGGAGCAGATGAACAAATTGTTTTGTATGAAGACAATCAATCCTGCATCAAAATTGCTGAAGAGCCAAGAAAACATCAAAGACTTAAACATCTAGATACCAAGTACAATTTCATTAATGAATCAATTGCCAACAATGAAATAAAATTGGAGTATGTTCCATCAGAAAATCAGCTAGCTGACATTCTTACTAAACCACTGTCGGCTTCAACATTTATGAGACTGAAGAAACTTATTGGTGTCAATGAATACTAAGATTATTTTTTTTTTATGGTTTATATTAAATTAGTCAATAGTCAAGTATAATATTGTTATTTGTTTTACATTATGTTTATTTATTATTATTATTTTACCTATGTTATATGTATACTTGAAATTTTTAATTAATGTTTGTAGTTACAAGATTAAGTGGAAGTGTTGTTAATTGTTATCACTTTTGTTATCACCTTTCTGTTGTAATCTTGTTGTGTACACTTAACCTAAATGTGTGAATACTATAACGTTTTTTTTTTTTGTTCTGTCATTATAAAACCTCGTTATGTCTTGAACTTAAAAGCGGAGCTGTTATTCTTTTTGTCCTTTTACATTAAACAACAGAATCAAATAAATGTAAATTATATTATACTAACCCTTTTTTAGGATTAAGTAATAAATTTTTTGGGTTTTTTATGTCATTCCAAAGTAAAACTTTGCGCATAGTTCCATCTAATCTAGATACTTCAATTCGCTTAGTGCCAGAATCACTCCAATATAAGTTACCACCAATCCAATCAACAGCTAATCCTATTAAAAATTAAAAATATTTATTTGAATAATCTGTATACAATAATTTGTAAAAACTTATTTTAAAGTTAGGAATATTTTGTTATACTCCTAAATACTACAATAAATTAATAAAAAAAATACCTTCTGGAGTTTGTAGGCCGAATGTAATAATTCTTTCTGCCATTGACCCATTTAAGTAAACTCTATTGATTGTTTTTAATCTGACATCAGTCCAATAAACTCGTTTATTTTTAATATCGACATCAACCGCACTATAAGTTCATAAAATAACTAATCAACATTTACCAATACCAACATATATAATTTTAATGCCCAATGTCATAGAAACAAACAAAAACAGATTTACAAACTTGATAAAAAAACATATTTAATATTATGTTTTATAATAATTATACAACATAATATTAATATATCATTATTAACCCTAGATCACAAGCATTTCAAATATTCACTAGAATACACGGACACAGATTTTTAGTTACACATAGTATGGTGAATCATACTCAACTAGCTAAAATCTCACCAGTCACAATGAAAATAACAAACTATCGATATTGTTTATCAAGCAGCAAAATTATTATTATAAAAGTTATTATATTGGAGAACACAATTTAAAAATAACCCATAGTTGATTTATGCAATTGTCTTTTGGACAGTATATTAATAGGTAATGTCTAGTAATTAACTTTGAACACTTATATATTACTGACATCAACTATACAATTGGGAGCGAGGTTTTGAGTCATAACTAATTTTAGCCTATTACCCAATTAGAAGTTACTTAGGTTATATTACATAAATATTTTGAATTCTAGAAACAATGAACAAATTTCTAAAAGCCTGGTCATTTGAACCATGAAGCGTGTACTCTAGGGTTAAAATTATTTGATTGCATAGATTATTTAATAATTCATCATTAAATTCCAATATACTATTATTATTTATCATAATATAGGTATGTTTCAGATTAATTTAAATAAAAATAAAAATCCAAAATCCAAAATGAGTAAACCATACTCATATAATTAGTGTAAAAATTAAATTGGTAATTAATGGTGATAATGGATAGAATAAAATCTATGTATCAGAATTCAAAAGTATAAGATGGTATGAACAGATTTTATCATGTAAACGTTTAAATAAATTACATATTACTAATAAAAGTTAATAGACGTTTCTAGATCATCGAATACATTTGAACTATATTTCAATGAGTCCCATGATCTGTGTGTACAGAGAGATATTTTGAGTCAACTGTCACCAACTTGAATTTTACCAATTTAACTAAATACTCTTACTAATAATGTTTTAGTTTTTGTGTACCTATAACATGTTATTTTTAAAAAAAATTACCTGGCTTCTTTCAATCCAGCTACAGGAATAACATCCGAATAATGACTATTCTCAGTACTTAATATTCCAATATGTTCAAATCGAGTAAATAGTAGAAATGATTCAGACAGTATGCAAGTTTTTCCGTCCATAGCCAATTCATAATCTAGTAAAAAAAAATAAAAATTAATGGTTACTATAAAATGGTAATTACTAATAAGTTTGACTAATCATTTTTTTTATTGATAATATAATTTAGTTCAATAAGTTTCATTATCATACAATAATCACCTATTTCACAAGCGCAAATGTAGTAGCCTTTTGGTTTATAAAAACAAAACTGACTACAATTTCCATTATTATCACCACATGGATTGCCATTAAGAGGCTCTTTTAAGTTCACAGCTTTTACACCCATTAAATTTGGTAATTGATCTATAATAATTTTTCGATCAGATCCAGTATTTTTATTAACTCTGTCAATGGTACGACGCTGCCAATCTGTCCAATAAAGGTAATCACCCAATTGAGTCAAACCAAATACATGGGGCAAATTTTCACTCACAAGTTCTTTACGGTCTTCTCCATTCATACCAACAACCTGTAGGATAAATTATAATTTAAATATAATATATATATCAATAAAATACATGGTGATATAGTTCTAGTGTTAGGTAAGTTAATTCAATTTTTGAGTTTAAATATTTTGAAATCATTAACCGTAGATTTGAAGTCTACAGAATACTTATATTATATTAATTTAATTCGTGTTTGATATAATAATTTGAATCAACACTTACTAAACTATTTAGTAATTGAATTAACTATTTTGTATGAAAGTTATTTAAATTTTGTTTTCAACTAAGACTAATACATATTAAAATGTTTCAACTTACTTCTATTCTATCAGTTTTTGCGTCACAGAAATAAAGGTTTCTTGCCTTAATATCCAAAGTTATTCCATTTGGCCATCCTAAATCTTCTTTAAGTAAAACTATTCTATCATTTCCATCTAAATTGGATCGTTCAATTTTTGGTCGTTTGTCATACCAATCAGACCAAAATAGCCAACCTAATTCAGGTGCTACAGCAACACCACGAGGTTCGATTAAATCATTAGCAACAATAACCTAAAGTACAAACAAACTTATTATGCTTTAGAATATGATTTGTAAGATTAACATTAAAAATAAATTACTCTTCGGTGTTTCCCATTTAATCTAGCAACTTCAATCCTATCTGTTCCTGTATCTGACCAATATATGTTTCTTGCAACCCAGTCAACGGCTACTCCATCTGGGTGATATATCTCATTGGAAATAACAACTTCTTGATTACTACCATTCATTTTTGATCGTTGAATCATTTTTATCTGTATTAAGATATAATTTGTAATTATTTGAATTATTAGTACAACCATTATATTTTAAATAATAAGTACTTCATCGTCAGTCCAATAAATATACCCTTCAATAGGGTCATAATCAATGGCAATCGCATGAGCTAAACCAGTAAGAGGTATAGACATAATAGTATGATCTGGAGAATCTAATGATATTTGACAAATATCAGTTTTTTGTACAAGAAATAAAACTTCTTGGACACCTACAAAAAGTAATTAAAAATATTATTATATAAGACATCGAAGTAGTATTTTTATTTAATATATACAATTAATATTAGTATTAAGTTTAACAAACCGTCAGCACAATTGTGATGGTCTATGAGCTTTACTCCCGTGGAACAAGCACACGAATATCCGGGAGAATTTGGGGAAAGAAGACACAAATCAGAACAACCTCCATTATTCTTATCACAAAGAGTAATTTTTTCTGGCTGCCGAGCAGAATTCCATACGCGAATATCCATTGGTACATTATTACTATGTATAATTTCACGGCTAGTTCCACCTCCTCTACGATCTACTACATGAATCGACCTATCAGTAAAAGAAAAACAAATAGTTCAATTATTAGTTTTAAATTTGAAGCAAAAATGAATCATGTGATGAAAAAAATAAGTAATAACGCTGAAAATTAAATAAATTTTTTCTTGTTGAACCTTCGGCACTATAAAGAATAAAATCAACCTATAGGTTACTGTGTTTAAAATAAAGGTTTTTTTTTATCTCTTAACAATAAAACTGTACACAAACTGAACTTTTTACAAGGTACCTGCTGATCTATTTTGGTAACTACTAATTAAAATATTCATAAGTTATAAATGTATGCTTTAAATATTGAAAAATAATAGATTTATGAAAATAATATATTTTTACAAACCATGTCTTCCAATCAGTCCAGTATAGTCGATCTTGATATAGAGCAATACCATATGGATATGGTATTCCTTTTTCAAGAATAGTTTTCCTATTTCTCCCATCATAATCCATTATCTAGATAGAATATATCAAAACAAAATATGTTTATTCAAGTACTAGAAATAAATAAAATACTTACATCATAAAACCAAGTTTTCCATCACCCATAGATGTGTTTGGTATGAAAATCTATAGTTAAGCCATTTGGCCAAAATATGTTATCACTAACAATGACTTTTCGTGTAGATAAATCTCCATTCATTCCTGCACGTTCAATTTTCGGAACTTCGCCCCAATCCGTCCAAAACATTATGCTGGAATAAAAAGAAATAATAATAATACAATTTGTTTAGAAATACATTCAAAATGAAACATACCCATCCATAGGAACTAAAGCAACAGCTCGTGGTTGATCAATATCTTCCCAGTATAGCACTTTCCTGTATTTACCATCTAACGATGCTACTTCAATTCTATTGGTATCTCCGTCAGTCCAATATATTTTTTTAGTAAGCCAGTCACAAGCTAAACCATCTGGTGTAATAATACCAGTATTCAATATTGCCACCTATTTTATAAAAATAATATAATAAAATGTTAAAACTATACATTATTATAAAGTCAATAAAGTAAGATTATACAAAAATTAATATACATAGATAATCTATACAAATATAATATACACAACAATACTCTCTCATATAATAAGAGTAACCTTAGGCGGCGACCGTGGGTATGGGTAATGGCGGATCAAGTGCCGAGCTCTCCGGAACCATTTTAGTATTCCAACAAACCCCTAGCTTGCATTTTGCATAAATTAACACAATAAAACAAATTTTTGGTCAGAAACAAAAGATGAAGATAGAAATAGATTTATTAAGTGTGGTCGGACTGCACCGGATAAAAATCAGTCACTGCTCAAGGTTACTTTTATGTGAGACAGATTATATGTTATATTTTTTCGATATATATTTAATGTTATTACTTATAAATAAAATAAGTAAATAGTTTAAATATTAAATTAATAATGTATATATATATTTATAATTATAAATTAAATTAAGTAAACATTTTTACTTTGTTACTGGCGTGAGTTCCATTGTAAGAAACACATTGAATAGATTCTTGACCATGATCAGCCCAGCATATCAAAGATCCTTTATAATAGAAATCAAGTGCACTTCCTTCAATAAGATCCTGAATATATAAAAAACGGTTAACATATTAGTTGTTCATTTTAATATGATGGTATCTAACTATTAAGGTTAAACTGGCATAATTCAAATTTTCATCATATTATAAACTAATAAATATCAATCAGATCATATTGAAAATTTAAATAAATACAATTGCTGGTTTAACTAGGAACTTACTTTAACAATAACATTAATCCTGGTCGATTTTGACATATTAGCCATCCGGATATCTTTAGATGTTGTATATATCAAATTTGGATAAGCTAAAAAACAAATTGTCATTAGATAAATAAAAAATTAATTTTATGATATTTTTGATAGTTATAGAGTAACAGCAGTAAACATCAAGTGTTCAGTTATACGTAATTGGTATGTACCTATGTATTTATGTAATTATATTTTTGCAAAATTTAGAATCAGAAAAAAAAATTATTAAATGTAATAAAAGAAAAATACTTATTTGAACTGATTTATATATATATATATATATATATATATATATATATATATATGACATTAGTTATTAGTACATTACAGTACTTGAAAAAGTCTTGTTCTCATTTTTGATTAAAAATTGAATAGATAATATTGAATGATGACTAAAATATTAGTTATAGGTATTTTATTAGTCTAAGCCAGTGCATAACCTTGCGCATAATAATAGTTTTGTTTGTGAAACTTTAGATGTAGTTGTCTTTTAGTAACTAACTGAAAATTAAACATAAATCAACAATGTAAGTTTAAAGGCTTAAAAAACATTATGACCATGGACGATCTAGTTGACGTCTTAATTATAAAACATAAGTATTATAACGTAGTTATGATATTTTAATTTATCTTTATACTTTAATATTATATCAAATTAATGCCAAAATGTTACAGTGAAGATATTAGTTTATATCATTAATATAATATTTGAAATAATTTTATTTACAAATAAATGTAAATACTTGTTTATGACTATTATTGTTCTTTTATCAAAAAGCACACAAAGTGAGCACAGAGTTCCACATAGCCAAAGTAAATAGTATTGCAAAGAAACAGTACCTACTTATATTTAATAAAATATGAATAATTTTGATTTACATACCTACATGTGATACCTCGTGTAATACCCTATATGATATATCGGATAGCATATTTAAATTACAACAGGTGGGTGTTATTTTAATAAATTATATCTGGTTCCTCAAAGTCTTAGGGCCTCTGTGTTACTTTATAATTTAAATACAAAATACACCAAACAAAAATATGAATTCTCATAAATTTTCCCTGCAAAGGCAATTGAATAGATAGACTGAAAATCAAACTTTAAATGCCTATTTATGAATTATACAATGGTACCTAGGTGAAAGAATGTGATTAAATAAGTGCCTTGACCATAACTCATAGAATATAATCTTATAATGTCAAACAATAAAGTACGATTGGCATGTGACGGGACTATTCATCCATTACGGAAAACGTTGCGAGAACCACCTGCGGAGTCTACATTCTACCCGGAATCCAAGCCCCCGTTTATGCGTTTAACGATTGGTGTACAGTATACTGTTTGATTCAATGTGATGCGTGCAATTACAGCTATGAGCACTAGGAACTTGAACAAACATACCAGCATACAAGAGAGAGGAGTATCATAGAAATTTCACGTGAAAAAATGAATAAATAGAAAACGAAAAATGTTCGTGAGTGACAAAAGCGTTTCGTAAAGCAATCAAACGCCAATAAAGCTGAAGAAGGCCCTAAAAACGTCGCGACCACGACGATGGTATTAACAGCGAGCTGCAACGATTGCGGTAAATGACGAGATAATTTCATCGCAAACCCAGTCGGCGGTAGCGTCTTCCGACACCGGGACTTACCATTTACGAGCGACATCATCACGGTCCAGCACAACGTTACATAAATCCATGACGACATCATCCTGGCGCCTTTCCCGGTGACTGGTGTCCGGGACGTAGCGGGTAAAACTGTAGCGATCGTGCTCCGAGCGTTCGCGGCGGTGTTACGATCGGCAGTGACACTGACGGCGACGGTGGCGGCGGCCGGAGCAGCAGCAACAGCAACGGCACAAGGTTCACGACGGGCGGTCGTCTGACGGGACAATGGTCGCGCCGCGCATCGTCTTCGCTGTGGAGGCGGCGGCGGATCAGCAACTCGGCCGACGGATTGTCGTCGCGCGTCCGGCGTCGTCATCGGCGTGTCGGTGCGGTATAATTGTCGTTGTCGTCGTCGTCGTCGTCGCCACTATCATATTTTCGGCGGACGCGGTGTTAGAAAAGCGGCGGGTAAAAACGCGCGCGCTGTGTGTGTGTGCTCGTGCGCGTGCGCTCGGTCGGTGCCTGTGCGTGCGAGCGCGCGCGACGGGGAGAAAAGAAAATATTTGTGTCCGAAGGGACTGGCGGTGGGTGGGTCACCCAGCGGGTGGCGAGACAAAAATCAAACCTCTACCTGAACGGCCGAACGAAACCGGATGCTCGAATAACTCGAGTCGTACATAACACACGTACTCGCCTGCTTACCTATGATTATTTATTAATGTTATTCGTTTTTCATTATGGTAATATTGTTGTAATATTATCATAATGGTCAGCGTACGTACACGTTATCATCGCTGTAAACAAACGAGCATGTTGTAGGTGATGGCCGGCGACGATAACGAGACGCGCTCGGCCGTCACTAACACGAGGATTACATTCAACATTGTATTTACTTGAAATGTTTTGCCTCTCACCGTGTCGATTCGCAACGGGGCGCCTGCCGGTGCGCTGCGTTGCGTGTCACGTCCGCCCGCCCTGTCGCACATCACCCCCCGCCCGCCATGCCCATTGAAACACCCGTGCAACACACCACCTAAGGGCGCAGGTGGTTTTTATTTTTCCCTGGACAATGACATAATATTATAACGCCCGCGTGATATTCATAAATGATTTCAGACTTTCTGACCGTAACTAATGGAGAGCGCATAGAGAGAGAAATCAACAGACGGGATTGTTGAGAGAGAAAATAGAGGTTTTGGCCCGTTACAGTGTACCAAAACTGAAAAAATATAGCCCTTGACATTAACATTTAAACATTAACATTAAAATAACAAAAATTGTTAATTTTTTTTTTAATATTGAATTATGTCAAAAAAAGAAATTTCTTTGTGTATATATAAAAATCAGTTTAATTTAATATATTTTTGAGAGTGTTTAGATCCATTACATAATACTTATAAGGATTTATATTACATTTTCAAGCTTTAGCTATAAAAATGGAACACTCATATTCATAGAAAAAAGTCATAACATGTGATATGTCTATGATCAGATATCAAAATATTAAAACAATTATACCATGTGTAGAAAATTATAATACACTCGTAGTTAATTCTGTTAGCAAAAAATCTAAAAAATACAAAGCACAGTTTATTTTTATAGTCATTTATGTTCAAATTTGGACGAAATTACATATTAAAAAACCTAGTATTTCTATTTTAGTTATTTTTTTGTGATTGCATAATATTATTCGTGGGTACTTGAAACTTCTAAAGTATACTACTATAGGACTATATATCAATGATAGTATCACAGTTCGATATTGATGTATCATGTATACCGCGTTATAGGTTACCTAATAGATATATTGTGATATGATTAATTTTAAATTTATTATAGGTAGGTACTTATTATAAATCAATTTTTTTTAATACCATAGATATGTATATTGTATATAATATGTCTTATACCTAGACTGATTTTTAATTACAACTTATAAGGAACCTTAATAAAATTTTCAAACTTTTTGACCAAACCAAATTTTTTTAATTGACATTTATAAAAAAAATATACAATATGTTAAATCTATAAAAGCTTAAAAAGTGTCAAAATAATTTGAAAATTAAACCATGTTAGATACAGACAATTTTAATTTTAATATTTGGTGAAAATATCAAATAAAGTACCTATATATGGTTAAGTACCTACTTGATTTTGAGTTACAAAAAAAAAAAGAAATAATTTGAGTGTTTAGCGTAAAAACTCCAGTAGGTATTTCCTTAATTTTTTAATTGTTGTTTCCTGAATATTTTACTGAGAATTTCCAATTGTTACCTCTCAAAAGTACCAACTAGATCCAATTTACTATCAAAAACCACCCTCAAAATAATAATCGAAACGTTTGTTCTACTAACTTTCGTGTATACCTATAGACAAAAAAAAAAATCACACTTCATTATTAAAATCAAATCACACAGCTCAAAATCTAAAATACATACTATCTATAATTAGCTAAAAAAAGTGCTTAAATATTTAATATTTTAAAATTAGATGATGTCTAGTAAATTATGATTATGATGATAGGAATTTTTGGTGAAAATTCAAGACTACAATTCAAAAAAATTAACATACAATTTTTCATAATTGGATATTTGATTTTGGTATGCTATATTTTCGAATTTCGATATCACTTCCAGAGGATGTTTAAATTAAAAACAATTTTTGAATGAAAAACCTCCTTAGGGGTCAAATAAAAATCCAAAAATTAGTTTATAATGAAAAAGACACTAAAACATTTTATGAAGCACCTATATAATATTATATAATAATTTTGAGTGTAGTGAACAATTTCAAAATGCCCCCCCCCCCCCCCCCCGTTAATCAAATCTATGTTGGAAGTCGAAGGGCCCTTTATTTGACCCCTAAATCACTCTAGGCGACATAGATACCTAAGTGATTTACGTTGAAAACAAAATTATATATAATAGTGTATACGTTTTAAAGTACATAAGTATATCGTATACCTACCTATAACCATTAACTATAATATTGTGTACACAAATATGATATGTGCATATAAGTAGGTACCTATTGTATAGGTACATCTAATAAACTATTTACGACATTTGATTATGTATTTAATGATTATTATAATGTTTCCTGTTTACATCGTTTTTGTATTATTTTAATATCTACAAAGGAAGTCCTATGCGATTACAATGGAACTATAATCTAGCTTTCGTAGTCTCTGTCGAGATTATCAATAGTTGTCACTTGTGCGAAACAAGGCAGCATTGAGGCACCGGGACTGCGATGGATGACGATGAATGCCACCGAAATCGAATAATAAATTAATAGAAAAATAATTTTATTGTAATTTTTAACTATTGAATAACGGCATACGTATTCAGTATGGACTATGGATGATAATATGTGCCACAATATAAAATTACATATTTTAATGTATGTACAATTAATATCTATCAACCAAGAACACGTCTTATTATGATGTTTATGCGACCTTTGATACACTCGCATACAGATAACTGTTAAGGTTAAGCAAATAAACGGATGTTGGGATGCCAGTTAGTAAAAATACGTCTTATATTATATTTATTTAATTATTACCATTATATTTTATTTAAATTTAAATTTTTTAACATTATACAAATATTTAAGATGGAAATAATTAAATGTAAATAGGTACTCAATCTATGATTAAAAGTCGTATTTTTATTTCGTTAGTTATATTTTTTAGTAAACTATGGTATAAAATGAACATGAAACAAATTGTTTAAATATTTTATAAATATTCCAATCTTAGGTTTAGGTATATGCTGTGGTACAATAGAACAGCTGCGTGCCTCTTGCAATCTGTAAGACATAATAAATAATAATATATCAATATATATTATTGAACATTTGTACATATATTTAATTTACAATATCGTCGGACGCTAAAAGATAACCTTTTGGGCCCAACCCACTGCTTTGACCTTAAGTTATCAAATAAACATGAATAACTAATAGGTACCTATAATAATATACATAAAATATAATAGCTGGTACCTACCATGATCCGGGAATATTAGGAAAAAATGTCCGAAAATAATATTAATTATTATGTATAGGTAATAGGTAGGTATTATTATTAATTTATGATGCATTTACCATTATAATAATTCATAGTTATTATTAGATAATTTTATTATTTTGTTAAAATTATAGCTCGTTAATATCTACCCATTAAAAACTATTAGATTCTGAGTGGAACGATGAATGTATTGATTTTACAATGATATGTGTTTTTTTATTTTTGTGTCCGTCATCACGGTTTAGGGCAGTAGACCTGCTTCGATTTTCTTCAACAGTATCTAGTAAATCTAGTTGGTGCATTCGGGAAGTCAAATTTTAAAATCCCCAATGGTTTTCAGTTTTTCACAAGCGCCAGGAAAAACAACATAAAAATTAAGGAAAACTTGAATTCTTACACAAAATCGGATTTTGACAAAATCGATTATGGCTTTTGGTGTAACTCTAAAACAAATGATCGTAAATACATGACATTTTCACTGGATGTTTATATTAGTCTTTTACATACATGAAAAAATGTTCAAACAATTTTGACTTGTTTTGAGCTATTTACAGCTATACTCAGTTTCGAACTTTGTTGGGTCTTTTTCTATGAATGTCAATAAAACTTTATTTGTTAGGTAAAAAAGCTTGAAACTGTATTAAAAAGCTCCTAATATGTTGTTCCAATGACGTTTGAAAAATATTAAAAATCTTTAGTCACAGTTTTATTTATAAGCATTTAATGTTCAAATATTGACAAAATACGGAAAAAGCACGAAATCTTGCAATTTATTTTTATTAAGAAATTCTTAAAAATTTTTCTTTTTAAATCTAAGATTTGAAAATGTAATACAAGATTTTTCATAGGTACGTTTGTCTACCTTTATCAAAAAAAAATATCAACTAAATTAAATTTTTATGAGCATTTTAAATTCATATTTTTACAAAATTTGTTATTCACTCGATTTCTCATGTAACGACTAACGATTTTCTTATTTTGATATAATTCAAAAACAAATGACTCTAGATACATGCAAATTTGACTGAGTGTTTATTTTATCAATTCTTATACTAGATAACATTTTCAAAATATTTTGAGCTGTTTACGGTCATTGTCAGTTTTCAATTTTTTTTATTTTTTTTTCTATGAATATCAATAAAGTTTTATCCGTTAGGTCAAAAAGTGTAAATATTTAAAACAAGGCTCCTGATATATTGTAACAATAGCAGTTGAAAAATATTAAAAATACATAGGCAAAATTTTTTTTTATAAGCTTTTAAATATCAAATTTTGACAACGATTATGAAATGTAAAATTTAATAAATATTTTGTAGTTAATAATTTATAAAGAGTTAAACTTT